ACCAGCAGGAAATCTCTGGTGGACTAGCATCAGCCCATAGACCAGCAATTGAAAACCACTGCTATAGCACACTGCTTCATCTGCCAGGCCTTTCTTGACCTCAGGAGAGGATGTTTGCTTTGTTTTCTGAGAGGCATAGGAGATTACCATGGGAAGGAAACTGTGAGCAATTCACCTTGTGCTGAAATTCATCTAGTATCAAGATCCTATATAATGCTTAGCACTAAATGCAAAATTACCAGTTTCCAAGACAGAAATGTAGTGTATTTTGAAATTTCGTTTCTATCATACCTGAATTTACATTTACCCCATTCAAGAAGGAGTGCATACCCTTTTTAAATGAAGACCAGGAATAAATTATGAAAAGGATGAGTGAGAAGGCAGAGATACCGTATTTTTCGCTCTATAAGACGCACCTGACCATAAGACACACCTAGTTTTAAGAGGAAGGATTCATGGAAAGCTTCCTGATAATCACAGGCACATTCCCCGTCACTTCCCCATGGGCTTCATTAAAAGACGGGTTGCCATTGAAAACACACACCGACCTGTGATTAACAGCTCTCACCTGCGCCGGAGGAGGGGGGTGGAGCAGGGCGCGCAGAGCGCGTGCCGGCCAGGTATGGTGCAGCCGAGCCGGCAGCGTGCCGGCGGTGGTCTTCCGGGCAGTGCAGTGGCGGTGGCAGGTCTTCCCGGGCGGTGGGGGTGAGCAGTCCGTCTCTCCATGTGGCCGGCGGGTTAAAGCCCACGGCTCCTCCTCCTTCGCACCGCTCCCCCCGAGCGGCACAGCTCTCACTTGCGCAGGGGGGTGGGTGGAGCAGCGCGCGCTGAGCGCGTGCTGGCCAGGTGGTGCCACGTGGTGCAGGTGGGCCAGCAGCATCCCGGGCGTCGGGCACACACACATTAGCTCTATAAGACGCACAGACATTTCCCCTTACTTTTGAGGGGGGGGGAGTGCATCTTATAGAGCGAAAAATACGGTACTTATTCATATCACAATCACGTGCTCAGTCTTTCAGAAACTAAGAACAAGTCATCACACTGTGGTAAAGGTATGACACTTATATGAACTGTTGACAAGTGCAAGCCAAACACATTTGAATTAATTACTACAAAGTTTTAAAACTGTCATCAGAAATGCATTTCTGGAAAAGGTAAAAAGGTTGTGAAAAAAGGCAAAAGATTTATATGATCTGAAGATAATTTTATATAAAAAGAAAAAAGACAGTGTTAGATGATGAAATGGAGCAATAGATGGAAGGAAGCGCATATTCTAACATTTTCATTTGAACAAGGAAATTTTGATTGGCACCATCAGCACCAAAGAGTTATTCTAATATCATTAAAATATTAAACGGCTTGGGTCCTGACTACCTGAAGGAGCACGTACGTCCATATATGCCCGCCCGCCCCCTGAGATCAGCGGGAGAGGCCCTTCTCCGGGAACCTTCCGTGAAGGAAATTAGGAGGATAGGTACTCGGAGGAGAGCTTTCTCTGCGGTGGCGCCCAATCTATGGAATGTGCTCCCCAGAGAGGTCCACCTGGCGCCGTCATTATTTGTTTTTCGGCGCCAGGTGAAGACCTTTTTATTCAAGCGTCATTTTAATTGTTAATGTTTTTTTTTATTTTAAAGTTTTTGGCCAGGGCGACTTATTTTATACAGTTACGTGTATTTTATATTGCTATTTATGTATTTTAATTTATTTATTTGTAAGCCGCCCCAAGGCTTCGGCGAATGGGGCGGCCTAGAAATTTTCTAAATAAATAAATAAATAAATAAATAAATAAATAAATAAAATATTAAATTGGTGAATTGTAATTTAAATGCAACTGCTTTGTTGTTATTTTATGCTGAATTAGAATCAACAGAAAACAAGTCAATATTAAGAAATCAGAATTCTTCTGTGAGTTCTAATTTAGTGTAGTTACTCAAAATGTGCATAGAAGAGATACTGGCTTTATTGTGAGATTTTGATATTATATGCAAGATTCCTATAAGATTCCTTGGTATTTTCTTTCTTTCTCTTTACAAAAATAATTTTAAAAGTTGTGAACAAAGAAAAATAGATTTTGCTATTGTCAAAGTGAAGGTGCAAAGTAAAATGTTGGTGAGAACTTAAAGACACTTTTAAAGAGAGATGTTTGTGCTGGCCAAGTAGTGCTGCAGTAGTAGATGCACAATGCTATCTTAACTTGTTGCATCCACTGTGGTAAAATCATGAAAGCTGAATCACAGCACTGTAGTTCTACCACCATTTTCTCATGCACTCTAGAAAATAACCTTCTGACAGCTTTCTTCTATTCTATGATGAACTATCCATAATATCTGCATGGCTACAGTCAAGCTACAAGTGGAATGTAGAGTTTTTGTTTGATTCTGAGAAAATCAGAAAAAAATAAAGCTGAGTCCACATAGAACAAAATGCACACTTTAAGTAGCAGCAGCAGCAATTAAGAGCTTGTACAACTTAGGTTTTTCCAAACACTAACAAAAACCATTTTAGGCAATTTTAACCGTACTGGCTTTCTTTGTTCTGCTAAGATTTTGCACGCCCCAAAAAGCTGATCTACAGATTAACTTTCTTATAGCAGTAGTTTGAGTTGGAAAGGAAGAGAAAGTCTGGCCTTCAGGAAGCAAACACAACCCTTATTTATTTATTTAAATTTTTTCTATACCAAAATCTCAATACAGTGTACAAAAATATGGTCAGTAAAGAGTTACAGATAGAACAGGGACCAGGGAATCTTCACTTCAAATCACCGCTCAACCATAAAACTAACTGGATGACCCTGAACTAGTCCTTATTTCTCAACTAACTTTAAAAGGTTCTTGTGAGGATAAGAGGGAATGGGAGGAAGAGAATATCATATATGCCAATCCAACCTCCATGGATGAAAGGAGTGATTAAAAATGTTGAAAGTAATAAATGAAATTAATGAATAGCCTTAGCTCTTGTAAACAAGAAATATGAACTAGCCCAAGGATTAAAAATTCTGGGGAGAAAGTTAGGGCTTTGTGCTTCTGACAAGCCATCATTTGGGGAAAACTAAGTTTCTAGAATGATTTCCATAGAAGTTACATAGCCAAAAGATCCAATTACATTTAACAGTGTAAGGAATATGGACATCTAGTTGCCCATTCCTGATTTTAAAATAAGATTTTTGTGTTAAAAGCCAACTGTTTTTATCAAGTTTTTACCACCATGTTCTCTAGATTACTTCATAGATTCAATTTTCACCCCTAACTCTCTCTCTCTCTCTTTTCTAGACCAAACATCTCTGATATGAGCTAGAGTTCAAAGTATAGGCATGGATGGTACTGCCTCAGGTGAGCTAGTGATTTCAGTGACTGCCAAAACAGGGCTTGTGTCTAATAATGGCCAAAATCACATGTCACAGTAAGCTACTCTGAGAATAAGCCATGGAATGTGGCTTATTAATCCACAAAGACAATAGCTTTTTAGCAGCTTGCTATAGTTTGTTTCTCCTTCAAGAGCCCTCTGTCCTCCAGGACAACACTGACACACTTCCCAGGGGTCTTTGCAGCCTGCTTATGATGGAAACTCTCCTCAGCTTCACATGAGATCAACAGAGGGTTTTAAGTTTCTAAGCCCTTATGAATATAAGGATGTACTCATAATTTATGGACCACAAGACTGCTTCTCTGCTATTGAACAAGCACATCCATATCCCCCTCTTGTCAATTTAATCTTCTTGAGTGAAACTCTCCCTCATACTCTGCAACAGGTTGCAAAAATTAAAGGATTTTCTCTGCCCTTATGAATGTGAGAATAGCACATCCCTCTTCCCAATGTCCTGCACAAGTCTACAAGACCACAAAACGCCCTGCCCATTATTTAGCTAAGCATACAGTTACTCCCTCCTTGTACATTTCCTTGTCAATTACATCCTCCGTTAAATGTTTCCCTTGCTAGTAAACACCTTCCATTTTAAAGGTTGCTACGTTTTCTACTAAACAAATTACCCCTACCCCTAAAATGCCTTCTTACTTGCAGCCACCTGCTGCTTTTGGCTTCCCCCACCATTGTACTTGTTGCTTCCTTCTACTGGTCTCTGCTGCTGTCCTTGTATATGAGGGTAACAGAGCAGTGTGCAGCACTAAACATATGCAGATTTCAAGGAATAGCAAGGATAGAATGGGTAAAGATGCACAAATTTTAAAGACATGATTGAGGAGAAAAATATGCAAAATCCCTAGCAGTGGACATTTACCCCTGCCCACTTTCACAGGATGGAAATGAAAATTGCAAACACATTCAGAATATTATCAGGTGCTCATTCTTCAAGATTTCTATGACAAAAATAAGAATTTATCCTAAAATGGAAGGCACTAAAAAGGACTGAGGGAGAACAGAGGTGGGACTACCAAAATCGCAAGGAGCCACAGTGGTTTTTGCTGTTCTTCCCAACAGCTCTATTCCCCACACTAATGAAAAAAACTGCTCTGCCTGAGATAAGCCACATTAAACAATCCTGGTGCAAGCCATAGGTTCTCAGATAAGCTTGTTTCTAAAAGAAATATTAACCCATGATGGGAAAAAAGCATTCTAGGTTCAACTGACTGTATATGAACAGTTCACAATGTATACAAGCATCTATGCTAAAATTTTGAGACCTTTCCATTAATCAAAGAAATATTAAAGCCATTGTAAACAGCACTGCAAACTTGGAGTGGAATGAAAACTCAAGTTTTATCATGCATGGTGTGTTTAAATGGGGATAAGGATTTATACGAGCCAATAAATGTTAAGTGTGGGCAAGTTCATAGGCATAATTTTGGAAAACCATTACAGAAATTCAACATGGAAGAAAAACTGTGGAACATAGGGCAGAACCAACTGTTGAAAGGATTATCAAACAGAACAGATGCACTGTTTTCATATTAAGGGAATATATATTTAATGCATTCTAGAATTATATCTGATTAATAAAATTTTATGTAGAGCCAATATATATATATCACTGTATCTACTCATACCTTTCCAAGATCTGCAGCCTGTCTTAAAATGCTTTGTTTGAGGTCTTCTGCTTTTTTCAGATGAAAAGAATTTCTTTGACTCTGGATGACAAACACTATTTCTTTCAGTTCTGTAAATCAAAATAAATAATAATTAAAAGGAACCAAAACCAGGTGTTACCAACACTACTGAAAGTAGCATACTCAATTAAACATCAATTAAACCAATCAACAAGGATGCTTGAACCCTAATAAAATTTATGGATGACAATATGAAAAAGCATTAATCTGACATGAAATAATAGCAATATCTTATTTATTCTTAACTTTGCTGAAACTTTCCACAGATATTTTAATTCAGAAACAGTGGGCTGTGAAAATTAAGATTCAGTAAAAACATTACAGTTCACACAAGGTGTACAGCAAATTGAATTGAAAAATTGTTTCTACACTGAGAATAAAGCAATTACCCTTTGGCCTAAAGTAAACAGTTTCTTCAGTTATTTTTGCAGAAGATGCATCATGCCCAGTAAAGACAACTCTAAGTTTGTGTCACTGATGCAAATGCACACTACCTTATGTTCTGTGAGGCATACATAATAGAACTTATTGGATTTTTTTTTTACAATGACACATCTTATCACTAGTTTGTAATAGCCTGATATCCACATGTTCAAATATTCTGTCATTTGAAAATATGTTGTGCAAAAGACATTGGTATCTTCCCACTGAAAAGTTGTATAGCAACTTATTATTCATTGAACTAATTGGTTGTTTGCTCATTCCCTGCAGGACAATGGAGATATAGAAATACAAAGTCCAAGGAGCAATCCTATGCATGTGAAGACAGAAAACAGTCATATAAGTCCCAAAAAGCTGGTGAAGAAGAGTGGTGGTGCCTCAGGACCATGACTGTACTTCATCATCAGTCAGGCACAGCTGGGGCCATCATGCAACTTAACCCAAGAAGGCTACATAGCCACCCTGGTCTTAAAGTATCATCCAAACACACCCAATGTCACAGTAGATAATATAAGTTAAATGGACAAGGCACCTGTTCTGGTATCAGGTAATTAACCTTTAGCACTCCTGCCTAAAACGGGGTTAGAAATTCATGCTGACAGAATTATATGACCTTTATAGAAATCTATGGTGTGGCTATACATGGAGTATCATATAAAGTTCTGTTCATCAAATCTCAAAAGATATTACAGAGCTGGAAAAGATGCAGAAATGGGTGACAAAAATTTGATCAAGCACCTTATTTATAATGCTGGACTGGGTAGGGTGGGAGGAGGTTGTTTAGAAAAAAATGTTTGCTGATTAAACAAACAAAAGTTCATAGAATTATGCATGGTGCAGAGAAGTGGAGTGAGGTATGTTGTCATCCTATACAAATAATACTAGAACTGATGGTCATCTAATTAAACTAATCAGCAAGAGATTCAAGACAGACCAAAGAAAATACTTCTTAACATTTAATTTAATTTGTGGATGTTTTGCCAGAATATGAACTGATTACCATAGCTGAGATGGTTTTAAAAGGGAATTCAAAGAAATTCATGGTGGATAGCATCTGTTGATGGCTAGTACTTCCGATGCAACCTCCAGGATCACAGGCAGTATGCTATTGAATAAAAGTTCTTGGGAGTAAGAACTAGAGAAAGCTGTTGCTTTGGAGTCAGCTTGTGAGCTTCCCAAAGGCATCTGGCTACCTACTATGGAGAACAAGGTTCTGAATTAGGTGGATGGATGGCTTGATCCAGAGTTTCTTCCTAAATTCTTAAGAATTTGTACTTAAGGCAGAACAAAAGGAGGTGCATAATCCTGTGGTCCAATCATAATAAGCTAGCAGTTATGTTTCCAATAGCAAAGAAATGGACTACACAGAAAAATATGACAATGTTCGAGATATAAATGACTGGATCTACTAGCCTAGTGACAACCTGAAATACTGAAAGGGTTTATTTACCTTTGCTTATTTTACTTGAGTTTCCATTTTTTTCAGATGTCTGCATTAAGAAAAGAAATATCACATCACAATGCAAACAGCATAACTGTATACATATAAAGCATTTAACGAATCCCTATGGATGCTAACAGGTTGTAATCACACCAAGCAGTCACAATTCATGTAAAATATTTTTTCTACAACAAAAACTATATAACATCACCATTTATGTAGTATATTTCCACTATTTAATGAGCTTAAGAGATATCAATATTTGCATGATCTAGAGGGAAAATAAACCACAGTGGTCTTTGTTTCCTCCCGGAGTGTACCAATCACAAATCCACCTGATTACCATAACTACCCTGGCCAGATTATGGATTGTTATGATATCTGAATGCAGCAAGCCAGGCTAGCAGAGGTGGTTCACTATCCATCCTGAAACTCATAGCTTGTGCATGGTTTGAAAATAACCCCAGCTACCTACTGGGTTCAAATATCATGACAACCCATAATTATGCTAATTAGATTGTTCACAACCAGCACACACAAAGAGGGGAAAGAAGCCCTGTAAAGTCAAGTCAGTATTATGATGAGCTGGTGCTAAAGGAGAGTATCATGCCTAAGCCAATGAATTTGTGACTAAGGTAAGAGTTAATTCCCTTTTTATATCCTTAGCTAGTGCAGTAAATCAGCCCTAGCAAAAATGAACTTATATAAAGTAAAACTGATTTTAAATTACATTATAGTTTATTAGAAATTTGAGGTCAGTATTCATCTGACCACTTACACCCACAGAGATTCTCTTCTACCTCATAGATACTGTGGCACAAGTGGTTGATCCAGCTAAGTCTATTGTGTAAGTGGGATGCACCAGTTAATGTAACAAAGATTTAGCACTTCAAAAGGGAAGTCCTGAAATGAGCAGAAATGCTGATTTCCTAACTGGAACAAGAATGCTGACCCACCCCATTCCAGAATTGAGTGAATTTAGTGTTCCCCAAGAGTGCTTAATTCTTTCTGCAAGCAGTAGGAGCAAAAGATACAGCAAGGGCTTACAGATTAATGAAAAGACCACCTCACTTAGAAGCATCTGTAGCCAAACACCTATGAGAATACTAATTTCAGGAAAAGCCAGAATTCCAAATTATATTGCCATCTAAATAAATATGAAAAAGTTGCTCCAGAGGGCAAAATAAATCCAGTAACTCCAAGATATGTATATTTGTGCCAAAATTTAAGCTTTGTGTTGCAGAGCAGAGTTCACAGTAACATCACCCAGGAAACCATGTTCTAAAAATATCTCAACTGCTCATCAGCAGCCACTAAACAAACTGAAATGGTGTATGGTTTTTGGGATTACCCACAGGTTGTGGTGACAAGTTAAGAGGAACCATTTCTTGAACTCTACCCAGAAAATCACAGCATTTCAAGAGGTCCAACAGAACAACTTAGGGTGGGGTCCTCCTACTATTACTAGCATTCCCCAGCCAGCAGTGTTGGGAATTTTAAGACTATTTGCAATGTGAACATACATAAGGTTATGCCCTTAGAAGTGCACACTTTTACCCCTAGGAGAGGCTACATATGCTCCAATATTCAAGTCATTGCCTGGGAGTCACATCCAGCTAAATGAAACCCTCCTGTTGGGCCATGACCACTCTCTCTCTGCTCCACTACCCTTTCCTTTATCTCCACCTTAAATCAGAGGCTCCCAGTAGACCCTGCCTCTCCAAATTTGCCACTGTGTAGGTTAACACAAAAACAGAAGCCACACTGTGAAACAAGTGGTGCAGTGTGGCTTGTAAGCCCAGAGCCCACAATATGCCCACAAAATGACCAGGCACATTATAGTTCTTTACCATCCTGGACCATCCTACAGGTCTCCCAGAAGGCATCACTGGAATGCTAAGGTTTCTCCCATTGCCTGCTGCTGTCACAAGATATTTTATATTTCCCATAGCTTGAATTTTACTTTTTTAAAAGGAGTATTTTTCTGAGATTGCAAAAGTGGGCTGTCAAGTCCTTTTTTGTGATCCCAATGGGGACATTCAGGAAGTAACCCTTTAAGAGCATCTGGTGATACTTTGCATGGACTACGTGTAGACACCTACTTTTCTAGAAAATGAAAAACAACAAAAAGAATTAGAGTAATTGAAAAAGTGAGAGCAGCCCAGGGTCACATGAACACCCCAAAACTCCCAAAGAGTTTGCTGTTGCTAGAACCTCATACCCACTTTCCTCAAGTGCCTCCAAAGTAGGCTTTGTAAAGGACTACAATGTTGCTTTTTGGAATATACATTTGTTGGCTGAAGTGCAAAGAATTTGGGTTAAAAAGGAACCTACTGCTATCTGCACATTTAATGGTTATAAAAAATGTAAAGAAAGAGGAGTAACTATTTATTTAAAGCTTTTATATACCATCCACTACAATCATCTTGGGATGGTTTTTACAATAAAAGACTATAGACCATCCCTCCAAGATAACACACAAGTGGATACTGCCACTGAGATGGAGAATAACGGCTTGAGAGCCCACTTTGTGTAGTCTGAGACAAATAATAAAAACAAAAAAGTCAAGCTATGGCAAAAGCAGGTTGCTTACCTGTAACTGATGTTCTTCGAGCGGCCATCTGTGTAGTCACACATATGGAGTGCTGCGCCTGCGCAGTGCCTTTGGCCGGAAGATTACAAGCTAACAGTTTATTTTGGCAGGAAAGCTCCGTTCCCTCTCCCCCACAGCCTATAAAGAGCGGAGCGTCCGCCATTTTGTTCAGTCTTTGACAACCAGACGGAAGCCCCCATGTGGAAAAAATGATTTCTAAAATAAGTTCTACCATGAACAGTATCGGTACCAAGACAACAATGAACAATATTGGTACCAAGAAATAATGATAACATTCGATAACGACAAAGGTACACTCACCGACACCGAGCGGGGCCAGCGGGTGGGTTGTGTGACTGCACAGAGGGCCACTCGAAGAACATCAGTTACAGGTAAGCAACCTGCTTTTCTTCGTCGTGGCCTCTGTACATCACACATATGGGTAGATTAACAAGCTTACCATAATGGAGGAGGGGAGGTGTCCTCAACGAAGAACAGATGAAAGAACGGCTCTGCCGAAGGAGCAATCCTGCCGAGCCTGAACGTCTAGAAGATAATGTCTGGCAAAAGTGCAAGGATTCACCCAAGTAGCAGCTCTACATACATCGTCAATCGGTATTCCCGATGCGAAGGCAGATGAAGCAGCCACAGCCCTAGTCGAATGGCCTCGAGGGGTTGTGGGCAAGTCGATGTTAGCCAGTTGGTAAGACAAAGTGATGGTATGAACTATCCACTTAAAAAGTCTCTGTGGAGTGACAGGGGTGCCTTGGTCCCTGGTAGCATATTTAACGAAAAGTCTATGTGAACGTCGAATAGACTCTGTCCTGGATCTATAGAAGGCTAAACAGCGCCAAACGTCAAGTGAATGTAGTGACCTTTCTAACAGAGTAGACGGAGCCGGAAAAAAGGAAGGTAAAATAACATCTTGTCCCATGTGAAAGGGTGTAGACACCTTAGGCAGAAAAGATGGATCAAGCCGCAGGACAACCTTTTCTCTGTGAAAATTGAGATAAGGTGGGTCTATGTGTAGAGCGCAGAGTTCACTGGCCCTCCAGGCTGAGGTAACCGCAACTAGGAATGCTGTTTTCCATGAGACAAAACGTAAATCTAAAATCTAAGTCTAAAATCGGACATAGGCCACCGTCCCGTTTGGGAACTGTAAAGTATCTAGAATAGAATCCATGAAGTCCGTCATATTGAGTTAGTTGACGAATCGCTCCTTTACGAAGAAGTTGTTGTATTTCATTGAGCAGTACTGGTGAGCAAGATGTAAACCTAATTGGACTCGATGGAGGAACGGTATCGAATTCTATCCTATAGCCGTGCTGTATGATAGATAATACCCATCCATCAGATGTGATGGACTCCCAAATGGGGAGTCAGCTTCGCAGCCGGTCCCCACATGAGAGGGGGGTGGGTATAGGATAGAGTAGAGGAATGGTTCGCCAGTCCCGTCATCGGTGCCTCCTGTCATCATATCAGCAGCCGCCCTGTTGGTAGCGTTGCTGGGGCTGTTGTCAGCGGCGTTGCTGTTGCTGCCTGTGCTGAGGCTGTTGCCTGGGATGGTAAGGCTGTCTGTAGGGCGGACAGGTCCATGGCCACTTACACCTCGGTTGCGACTGGAGCTCCATCCGTCGGGCCGTCATGTGGGACTCATGAAGTTTTTTGAGTTTATGGTCCGTTTTCGAATGGAAAAGCCCGGACCCATCAAAAGACATTTCCTCGATACGACGCTTGGTCTCTTCGGGAAAGTTGGCACTCCTCAGCCACGCATGCCTACAAAGAGAAACAGCACCGACCAAGGCCCTTGAGTTAGTGTCCACAAGATGCCTGGCTGTGGACAACTGTTGTACTGCGACGTGCATCGCCTCCTTGATCAATACTTTGGCCAATTCGCCTTGTTAGTCTGGGAGGGCCGAGACGACGTTGTGGAGGCATTGCATTATAAAATACTGGTATCTTGCCAACGTCGCCTCATAGTTCGAGATACACAGCCCCAAGCCTGAAGCTGCATAGACCCTCCTGGCCAGGGAGTCGATCTTGCGGCCCTCCTTGTCTCGCGGAGCGGTGTGGCTCCTCGCCTCTCTACCCTGGGAGGCCTGCACCACGACCGAGTTCAGCTTGGGGTGTCGGAGAAGGAATGGTATGTCCTCCTCCCGAACCCAGTACATAGCTTCATACCTCCGCGATGTTGGTTGAGGGTGAGAGGGCAAGTCCCAGGGCTGCATCATCGCCTACCGGAGGGTGGTGAACAGGGGCAGGACGATGGAGGTGGACTGCTCCCTGAGGACGACGTCATAGATTTTATCTGTAGATGGTCCTGGGCGCTGGACAGCGTCAATGTCCAGGGACCGGATGAGCCTGGACATCAGCTCTGCAAAAGAGACATGCGACTCGTCAGGTGATGCAGGACCCTGGGAGGTCACCCTGACGTCAGGAGAGGTGGAATCGACGTCCGAGTCATCGGAGTCCGCGCCGTAATACAGAGGAGCCGAAGAAGAGGACTCCACTGGCGAGACAGACCAGCTGCTTTCCTCCCGGGGAACTGGGGATGTGCGCCTCGGATCCAGCAGCAGCAGGTGATCATGAGAGCATGGTGGGGACCAATCCCTCGGCACGGGATAGTATCCGGTCAAGTATGGCTCGCCCCAAGATGAGTAGTAGAAGCAACGCCAGTCCTCGGATTGCTCGGATTGCTGCTCCCTGGAGCGACTCCGGTGGGCCCTGGGCAGGGATTCGACCACATCCGCCTTCAGTGTGGCCATGGGCATAGGTGTTGGTGACCTAGCCCTGGGGGAAGAGTCTTGAATTTCCCCGTCAGAGATCGACCCCCGCTGGAGAGATGGAAGTGGCTCGGCAGGGAGGTCAGCCACATGACGGGGAGACCCTTGAGGGGTGACCCTCATGGCTGCCTGGAGTACCGGCTCAGGTGGAGTCAGTACGGTGGTTGGCGCCACTACCGACGCTGTCGTCGAACCCGAGATGCAGTGTCGAGGCCGGTCCGGATCCCTCGACTTTTGGGCCGGTTTAGAAGGCTTCTCTTTCCTGGCCTTCTTAGTTGATTTGTCGGCATCAGCGTGCTTGCGCTTCTCGCATTTCTTTTTGGGAGAAGCTTGTAGGGCCCTCAAAGTAGAGGCACCCTCGTCTGACAGGCGCGAGGGCGGGACCACCGTAGCCGGGCCAGGCTTCAGAGCGGCGATGAGTGGGTTGGACTGCATAAGAGCCTGATCCCACAGGAGCCTCTGGAGGCGGTTCTCCTGATTTTTCCTGGCCTGCTTGGAGAAGGCCAGGCAATGGGAGCACTTGTCGGTCCTATGCCCCTCCCCCAAGCAGAGGAGGCATAGGTCGTGTGGGTCAGATGGAAACATCTTCGACCCGCATTCCGCACATCTGCGGAAAGCCGCTCGCTGCGCCATCGCAAGAAGAGGAAAAAAAGATAGTGCAGAAGGTAAGAATGTATTTTTGGTTTGTTTGTTTGTTTGTTTTTTTAGAAGAAGTAAGAAGGTAGAAAGGTAGAACAACAGAACTGTAGAAATAACTAGAGCTAACAAGAACTGTAGAAATAACTAGAGCTAACAAGAACTATCAGGGATATAAAACTGGGAATTAACAATAAGAAGAGGAAAAATAGGCTACGAGTAATGATCAAAGCGATAGTCGAAAGCGGCATGAGGCACAGTGAATGGCGGTCGCAAAGACTGAACAAAATGGCGGATGTTCCGCTCTTTATAGGCTGTGGGGGAGGGGGAGCGGAGTAAAATAAACTGTTAGCTTGTAATCTTCCGGCCAAAGGCACTGTGCAGGCACAGCACCCCATATGTGTGATGCACAGAGGCCACGACGAAGAACTATAAAACTGCTCAAAGGAGTTGTAGGAGGGAGTAAACAAAAATCTTTCCTTCAAATAGATGAAAACACAGATATAGAGCAAGTCAGAAGGAGCCTCCTGGATCATCCAGTCTGACCCCTGGCTCCAGCTGGCTGAACACCCTCACCAATGGGGCTTCAACTACCTCCCATCAAAGTTCATTCCATACCCTAAGGGTCCTACCTGTCGGGAAGTACTTCTTGGCATTGAATCTTGGGTTCCTGAACTTTGCTCCATTGGAACGCTTCCTGCCCTCCTGTGCAGGGGAAAACAGGTCTCTATCCACCTCCATGAGTCTCCTCTTCTCAAGGCTGAAAAGACCCAGTACCCTCAGTCTCACCAAATATGGCTTTCCCTGCAATCCAGCCACAATCCTTGTGGTCCTATGCTGCACCAACCGGGCTACATCCTTCCTGTAATGTGGAGCCCAGAAATGAACACAATACTCCAGTTGTGGGTGCACCAGAGTCATGTAGAGTGGCAGTGATACCTCTCTCAATCTAGAAGCCACGCTTCTGGCTATGCAACCAAGGGTGGCACTCGTCTTGACCACCTCCAGTTGACCAATACCTCAAGATCCCTTTCACAAGATACTATTTTGCATAGTATATTTCCTTATATATTAATTCTGCACACAACATGGTCATTGTTGTGGTAGAGTGCACAATCAGAAATGCATGTTATTTGTTCTCCTGGCAAATCAGCTGCAATTATGGTGTAGATTGTGCTGGTCTTAGCAAAGACTACTAGTGGGCTGAAGAATCCCTAGTATAGACTGCTGGGATGGTAAATGATCAGTAGAGTTCACCTACAAGACTCCCCTATCATTCTGCTCCTAAAGTATCTCTGCTGCTTCCTGATATTCTGTGTAGCAGCATCAAGTTTTCAACTCATTTTAAAGATTTTTGCACCTTAGCCCCTATTCCCCTCCCCTTCCACTTTTCACTTCCACTATTTACTCTCATGTCCCATCAACTCCATATATGTACTGTTTTATTCATACCTGAAAATAATGTATGTGAAGTGTTTTGAACACCTGTACTCTACTGCAACTTGCTCTTATTTTATTCCCATTCTAGTCTCTGGATTTTAGACATTTTTTAATGTTTAAAACAACCCGCTCCCCAGTGACATTTTGGTCTTTTCTCATTGTCAGCCTCTTGCATCTTTTCTGGTTTTGAGTAACATGCTGTCTAAAGTCCTAGATAGAAATAATGTCATTTTTCCTGTTCTTTACAGCATTTAGTACAGTGGTAAAAGAAATGTATTCTTTTACCACAGTGTATTCTAGACAGTTATACTCCCTTTATAAAATCAAGTAGTAAGGGGAGGATGTCTAATTGAGTCTTCTCTGCTGATTGAGTCTTGTGTTATCCATGGTGGTTAGGAGTTCCTTTTACCAAACTTTGGGTGGCAAATCAAGCCCATACAATGATACTATCACAGCTGAATGACTGCAATGTGCTTTGAATACAGCCTGTTGTTAAATTTAGAAGAACCATTAGCCCAGAATAAGTTTGCTTACTTGCTGGCCAGTATTTAAAAGCAAGATCATAACATCCCAGTACACTGACTGCTTATTAGCTTCCCTGCCAAATGCAAGGTCCCAATTCATATCTCTAAAACCCTGAATGGCTAATTGCTGTTTATTAAGGTGATTGGGGAAGGCTTGTTCTTCATTACATTATTCAGTGAAGCCTTTGTCGCTTACAGCACATGCTTTGTAGAATTCCTTTCCCTGGGAAATTAAATTTCTGCCTATGTCCCTTCACTATTTAGTTTCTTCTGGAAATAGAAACTTTTCTTTAAAGTTTTTTGCCAGATTCTGCTGCATTCATTCTGCTGTTTTATTGCTGCCATTATTTGTAGCAGTTTATTTTTATACAATGGTTTTTAAATGTACATCTTCTTGAGCAGCATTTTCTGCAAAGAAAATTAATAAATTTTACATATAAATGAAATAAAAATGAGACCAAGCTGAAGGAACCTTTTGGTATCTCCAATATTAACATAATTAGAATACTTTTTGCAGCAAAGACCAGAAAGAAAAGAGCACAATTATTTAAGAGGGTCTATGAACACTGCAATACAACCATATGCTATGGAAGCTTTCATATGTAAAACAAAGAGTCTCTATGCCACCTTTTAGGACAAAGACACACATTAATGGAAGTAAAATATAATATACACAAAAAAATCAAACATAAATATATCCATCCTTGAATCAATAAAAAGCAATAACCATTAAAAGGATTACAGCAGAAGAATCAGTTCTTATGTAACATGAAGAATGTGGTTTCTGCTCCCCTATAAATTCATCCTGTATTCCTCCAAATAATATTACCATGGAAGGGTCAGATGATGTGGGCCTAGGGTTTCCAATGTGGTGCTTGTGCCCAGTGACACTTTATTTGGTGCCCGTCAGTCTAACTTGTCCTGGTTTTAATTTTTAAGGCTTTTTTGGTAACTGCAAGGTGGCATTTTTCCTCTCCAGTAACATCTTCATTTGGATTCAAAAGAATGGATTTGTCCTCTGACTTGATTGTTGGTTCTTGAGCATGTCAGTTTTCTTTAAGTCATCAATTCACCAGCATGCACATTTTGTGACCACGGCAGCCATTTTATGAATGGAAAACATCCCATGGCAGACATGGTGTGACATCACCCATACCACAGTATCAGAATTCCAAATATGCCCACCAATCTCTGAAGGTTAAGGACCACTGAAGATATAACTTTCCTTAGGACAACACTAACATGGACACAATCATGTGATCGATCCTCCCACACAATCAGCCTGTGGGAAGAATAGCAACTATGCCACCTAAATGCCATTAGTTACCCTAAATATCATTTTTCCTGGTTGAACTGCAAGATAAAAATCAGATCAAGCAAGCATGCAATGCTATACTTAAAGGAAGTTACTGCCCCAAAATGAAAGCATATCATAGAAGCATACAGGACAAATCACTTGGGGGGGGGGCATGTGCATGCAAGACAGAGAGAGAGAGAGAGAGAATCCACAGAGCAAGATTTGTGACACTTGTCTCTTTCATGTCAAGGAAGTCTTTCGTAGCAAGGGCTTGACAGATTTTATGGACAAACAGTCCTTCAGAACTTCCATCCCAGAAGTGAGACACAGAATTTAGTACCTGTGAGAGCAGCTCACCCTGGTCCTTCACATCTTCAGCCATACCATTTAGAGCTAAAGCTGGAAATAGGAAGAAAAAGTTAGCTACCTTTTCCTCAAAATGGTATCTCATTTTCCAATTTGACAAATCATGTCTAAATAGGGTAAAAAAGTCAATTTGGATTATAGTATCTCTTAAATGCACAGAATGCCTGTAATAATCTTATTCGACCATGAGGCAATTCTGTTATTTCAAAAGTAGTATCATTTGTAGTATTCTGACAATTTTACTCTCATGCATCTCTGGACAGAAAATCGTTCTCTGATGTAGAGCCAATTTATTCTGGCTTTAAGTCAAAACAAATCCTATAAAAAATAACATCAGGCTACTCTAATACTTCAGTTCACTGAACAATGTGCTAACACATGGGAGACCTAAATTTCTCTTTACCTTTAGGTTAAAGTTTGTCATTAGAGAAGACCTCTGTCAAATTCAGGTTACATGCTACTGTTATCCTGATATGATGCCAGGCATCAGATTCTGGTATGGAAACAGCAACCATTCTTCCAGAGTACAAACTGTGAGCAGCAGCATGAAAGTCATGTTAAACAAATCATCATTGTTAAAGGGATATAATGACAAGTCAGAAACTAGACTGAACCAGTATTATCTTACATATGTTGAAAATAGGTTTGTTATTTAGACAGAACCAAGTAGACTGGTGGGGTGGAGAAAAGGTGGCACATAACCCAGAGTGAGGAAATGACAGTATTATTCAAGTCAGACATTAAGAATTATTATTATGTCTATATTCACGGAAATAAATTACCATCCTATCAGGGAACTAGTTCCTATCATAGTCAGCAACAAAGGTATAGAAGTTGTATAAAGACAAGTTTATTCCATTCCAAGATCTAACAGCCCCAGGTTGAAAAGAATACTGATAGATCAGAGCAAAGGGCAATTAGTACCGCATCCTGTTTCCAACCAGATACAGTGGTACCTCGGCTCATGACCAAATCGGGTCGCAAACAAAAATTTCATAAAAATTTTAACTCAGGTCGTGAACTCCACATTGGGTGGCGACCATGAGGGGGAGATGGCCACGATCGTGCTGGGGGTGGGTGGGGGAGATGGCCGAGATCGCACCCGTCTTTCCTGCAGGAGCACAACCACGATCTCGGTCATCCTCCCCCCCAGTGGGCCTATCTCCCCCCCCCCAGTGCGCCTGCATTCGCACCTCTCTCCCCCGCAGTGCACCCGCGATCGCACCATCTCTGCCCCTCCCCACAGCGCGCCAGGATGATGGGTGCGGTTCATGCTGGGGGGGGGGAGATGGCCGCTCTCGTGTTCGGGGGGAGTGGGGAGGTGGTGATCTTCGTTGTTCTTTGTCACTTTGCTTCACATTTTTCTGATTTAAAAAAAATAGTTACAGAACAGTTAACCTTATTTACATTGAACCTTATGGGGAAATTTAACTTGGCTCACGACCATTTTGGGTCACGACCAGAGTCCTGGAACGGATTAAGTTCGTGAGCTAAGGTACCACTGTACCTGGAAAGTCTACAGGTAGGGAAGGAAAAGAACAGCCCTTCCCAAATGAACATCTACAATAGCTAGTATTCAGAGTCATACTACCTCTGAACTTTGAACTAAAATGATTAATAGGTGTTAACAGAGCTATCATCCACGTATTTAGCATTTCTATTAGTACTTCCAAGTGTTCAAAGTGCTTTGCATATATTATCTAACTGTAGCCCTGTGAAAACAGAGCTGAACAAATGTTTTTCTATGGAGAGCCTTATTTCCTCCAGGGTAATCTTTCAGGGGTTGCATGTCATCAGTGAGCCCAGACAATGGTATAAGGCAAAGGTGCCCTTTCTTCTTTTTGAAACCTTGTTCTCTTTCTCTTTCTCTCTCTCTGTGACCCTGTTCTCTCTTCCCCTCTCCCTTACCACACTGCAGGCTACCACTGAAGAAACAGATCAGTCTTTCCAGAGATCTGAAGTGACTGCAAGTAGAGGGCTTTGGCAATTATGGGAAGGACCCCAAATGGGTTGAGGACCTCAAAATGCCCACCCATGCTGCAAGCCAGTACTATTCTATATATTGAAGGTACGGAACCTGTATTTATTCTAGGCAATACTTTTGACATGCAACCCAGACTCCACTGACGTCATGTTGTAACTCTTACATGTTATCCCACTGCTTCCTCAGTGTTTGCACAAAAAACATTAAGACAGACTGCAAAGACACAATGTCTTTCAATTGGCAGAGCTCATGCCCTCTATTGCATGGGTCTTCCAACTATGGCCTGCAGGCCAGATCCAGCCCACACCATGCTGATTTATCTGGCCCGCCTCAGAGCTTTTGGACTCACTCAGAGAAACGATCTCCAAGCGAGTCCAAAAGCTCTGAGCTGGCACAGGCGCACTCAGTGGGGAGATGGCCACGATCGTAGTTGCGCTCATGCAGGGAAGACAGGTGCGGTCACGGTCATGCTGGTGGGGGGAGGGAGATGGCCGCGATCATAGTCATGGTCGTGCAGGGAAGATGGGTGCAATTGTGGTCGTGCTTTGTTTCCCTGCACAAGCGCACCCGTGATCGTAGCCATCTTCCCCCGAGCTCACCTGCGATTGTACCTGTCTCCCCGCCCCCCCGAGCACATTCATGATCGCACCCATCTCCCCTCCCCCAGCAGGATTGCGGACACTGTAGCTATGTCCTTTGAATATGGACATGCTCTTCCCTACCTCATCTTGGGCTTCTGCTGCAGCCCAAGCAAGTAGAGCAAACATTTTTTGATTTTTAAATTTATTTTTATTTTTATTTATTTTATTAATTTTAATTTTAATTAATTTTTAATGTGCAGTGTGCATAGGAATTCATTCATATTTTCCAAATTTCATTGAATAGCCTTCTTTCCTTTCCTTCTACTTCAATTAAAGTATTGGTGGAAGGATTCTCTCTACAGGTCCGTCTCACCTTATTCAAGGTTCAAATTCCTGTCACATCCACCTTCAGTCTTTTTTTTAAACACCCCCATGCATTAGCATCTCCCTATCAAGAACACATTTCAAACAAAAAGATATTAGGCTTTGAATATTTAGACAAAAGTTGATGGATTTTTTCTATTTAAATTTACACAGGATTGTACTGTTGGTTGTTCTTTTCTGTACTCTTTCCATTAGTAGATGCTTTTAAGCTGGGAATACCAGAACTGCATACAATATGCCAAAGATAATAGCATTAGGATACCTAGAGTTTCATTTTCAATAAACCATAACACAAAATTTACCTTTTCACTGTCATCACACAATTGTTATTTTTAATGAGCTATCCATCACAACCCCAAGATATTCTTCTAACACAGTCAAATCAATTTAGACCATATCAACTTATCCAATCAAGGGTGGTTCCCTCCAATGTGCATCACTTTTCATTTGTTTACACTGAATCCAATTTGCCATATTGTTGCCCATTTCACTGATTTAGAGAAATCCCAAAATCCCCATTACGATATCACAGATTTCAAAATCTTTAATCTTTGGTATCAGTCAACTTAATTGTTCATCCAGCTCAATAAATTAAACAGCACAATTCCTAGTAAAGATCTTTAGAACCCAAAGGTTATATTCCTTCCTTGTGAGAACTGTACATTTATACCTATCTTCTGCCCTACAGTCTTTAACCAATTACAGAGCCTGTGTGTTGTAATAGTGTGTTGGCCTGGTCCTAGTTCCCATGCAGCTCAGAGTGACTTTAGGCCAGATAGACTCTCAGTCTGACCTACATCACAGGGTGGTTATTAGGATAAAATGGAGAGGAAGAGAATCTTGTAAGCCACCTTGCATTACTTGCAAGAGGAAAAATGGTGGGGTATAAATGTAATATAATAATGGCGATGAGCCATCATTTTATCTCATGACTACTACCTTATTCAAAAACCCACAGTGAGATTCTTGGCTGTATTTGGGCTGGATTAAGCCATATCTATCCCACTGCATAGAAAATGGTAGGACTGCACCTGTCCTCACAACCCCCTCCCCCACAACCCACTGACTCATCTCCTCCACTCCCATATGGATTGAGGATAGAATATCTGGAGAAGTTTTGAGTGAAAAATTCTACAAATGAAGAAACTTTACTATTTACTTCCTCTCCTCTGCTCATAATGAAGAGCAGATTACCTGTGCTGGTTTTCTCCCTTCTGAAAGCTGCTGCTTGAATGCTGTTTTCAGGATGACATCCCTAAGGAGAGCATGGGCAATTATCTAGGTCAATATACTTACTCATAAATTGGAGAGAGTAAGGCATCGGCATGGAGAAGTGCTTGATTCTGTTCTACACTCCCTTCAATGTTTGGATAGGATTGCATGCATGGTATAAGCCACTGGCCTAGCAGGAGGCTGTGAATTAATGATATTAAGAGCCAAACCCATGTACTGCTTTATGGAGAATATATCTTAGAGAAATTAAGACCTAACTGTTCAAATCCTTTAAAATTATTAACTTTTTAAATAAGAAACAGTTCATTTTTATCTTTCAAGAGCTCTCCATTGGGATAAAAAGTAACTTTTGTTCTTTATAAACTCCTGCTATTGTTTATAATATAATTTCAGTATAAATGGATGCAGGTCAAGAAAACCAGAAAGATTAAAGGGGCTTTTGTTCCTTTCTCTCCCATGGAACATTCTGCTGGTCTGAATCTTCTTTAATGGTAATTTCAATTGTTCCTCATACTGCAGTCTGGCTAATAGCTAAAGAGGGTAGGATTCAGGATTTAGAAGTTTCAACAAAACAAAACTTTAAAAAGAACATAAATTTGAACATATCAATTAAACATAAGCTTCAAAGGCAGACCTAGCATCCATATATATGTCCATTTGAAAGTGATGTCTGCATGCCATCTGTTCAAATGCTGAAAGCATCATTAGGTGCTCAATTCATTGCATTTTAGTAAGCGAGTAGTCATTCTTCCAGTGCGGTAATATCGTGCTATACTTCCAAAAAGCAGGTAGATAATTTAAAATACCATGTGCATCTGTAAATATTAAAGAGTGTTCTAATAAAGTTTATT